CTAAAAGCAAACCGCTTGTGAATTTCTTATAAGGGGGCATCAACTCACTTTGCGCAGACTCATCTGCTTTTTGTAGAAGTTGTTCCACTCCCGTTTCCGATTTTCTTCATTGACTTCATCTCCATTCCCGCTGCTTTCTTCATCATACCTGGATAAGGCAGAACAAGAGGAAAAAACATTCCTGCAGGCAGATGCAGCATTAGTTGGTAGGGGCACAGGCTTTGGAAAGCCCGGGTCATCTCAGTATTTACAAAGAAGAGGTATTTCAGATCCTTTCTGAACAAGTCATAGCCCTTAGTTTTGCTACCATCCCTCAGCGTGGGCAGTACTCCCCTCCACAGAAATTCATGGGATTAACAGCAGGTAACTAGCGCTCTGAGAATGGAGGGCTCCATTTCAGAAGCTCTGCCAGCTTCTCCCATGGGGTCGAGCAGTCACGACTGCCAGCTGCCCACCTTCTCTCTCTCTCTCTCTGTCTCAGTTGTTACTGCCCTTGCAGCAGAGATGACAGAATGGGCACATCATCCATTCTTCAGCTGCTATTGTTCACAGACTCGTTTATTAAATGAAATCCCCATCACTAATACTCTGAAATGTTGCACCTTATTCTTCCCAGATGCAGCTCAAGAGTTTACTGCCTTCTACAGCTCTCACAGCCAACACTTCCAGGTATCACAGATCAGAACTCTAAGACTCGTGACTAGTATAGCTTCCGAGGAAAAGCTACGGGCGAGTCATGGAGAGGCTCAATAAACCAAGTGGCAAACTGTGTTGTACAGCAACAACACTGGCCGTGACTTCTCAAGTCCTGGAATCAAACACAGACTCAGGTCATAAGTACAGAAGTTTTCTCCAACTCAGCTGGAATAGCCCGAAGAACAAAGCTACAGTTACTCTCCAGCTGTTTAAAGTAAAGAAGAGGGCTAGGCCAGGCTGCCATGCCTCCTGGCAGAGCTTCACTGGCAGTGCAAGCAGGGAAGATTGCATCCTGCCTGACCTGCACAATGGCTGCAACCCAGCCAGGCCACCTATCTTTGCTTTTTAACATGAGGATTCTTGTGGAAAGCAAGGAGAAGAGAAGTTGTCATCTCCACACTGCCAAGCATTTTACAGAATAAGTCATGATTTCCACTGCACATCTTCCTTTTACTGTCAATCTGCTAAGGAGTCACTAAAATTTAGCAATCTGCAGAAGAATCTGACACCGGCACCCCATTACATCATCTGTGATGGCTAAGTCATCTCAATGGTCCCTCAGCTCGCTGGCCCCATAGAGAGCAGTACTAAGCCAGGAACAAGCTCTGGGACATGTAATGTTTTGCTCTCATCTCTGTCTCAATTTAATCGTTTTTTGTTCTTGTGACTGTGAGCAGGGGCTAAGCCCACTTACTCCTTTCAAAACTTTCAGGTTAGTTTCTTGAACCAGTTACATTCTGCAAGACAATTCTTAGGTCAATCAAAACAGCTTTTGGCTCTCTGAGGCATGTATTTGATCAAGGCTGCCAAAGCACGTGGAAAATGAAATTCCAGCTCCTGCTGCCAGAAAGTTACAGGAAAATACCACCACACAGAAACATGTGCTGAAAATAGGAGTGGCAGGTCCTGCAGCTGGAAGATGCTCTCCTCTCTCAGACAGCTCACGTGAGCTGAGTTTGAGCTACCAAATACAAACCTACTAAAACCTCTGCAACCTCTTCTCCCTCCTTCATACAGCTCTGGATCATAACAATCCCAGGAGGAACCCGTGGGCCCAATGCAGGTTTTGCTCCAGCTGTTGCTGCAGCGCTCCAGTGACTCCAACTGCCTTTTCACTGCCCCTGGGTTCTTGCAGTAATCGCAGCACTTGTTACAAGGTGGAGTGACATCGCCAAAGTACTTCGCTATGGCAGCATGGCGACATCTAGGAGACAAAAGGGAAAGTGAGCTGGTAATTATTTTCATCGAAGTCCTCCAACCCCCAAGCACAAGTTGTCTTTTGATGAAGACTTGAGTCTTTTTTGCCTAGAGAATGCTGATTCTAGCATAGGGACATAGGGATCAAGCCCTAGAGCAGAACTGGGGTTCTGTTCCTGGCACCCAGCTCAAGGTCTCTGTGCCCTCCTTTCCTCAGGTATAAAACAAACAGAGGCATCAATCTCCTCTACAAAACGCTTTCAGATTTGGAGATCTAAAAAAAGTGTGATGGATTAAATACGCAGCTATTAATTCTGCGTCGCTGGCCAAATATATTCCATGTGCACCCTGTCCAATCAGAAGAGCTCTAACATAAATATGTACAGAAGTCATTTTGTTCCCTGCACCCAGAGTTTAGAATATGCCCGTATATTTCACATTGGAGAGCTTCTAATTTTATAGTTTGTGGTTTGAAGGAACAAATCTAT